GACCGGTAATGGGCCACACACATCCATGTGTAATAATTCCATTATCTCATTGGATGTAATATCCTTCATTGCTCGATGAGGGTATTGCGTTAATTTTCCAGTTACACATGCTTCGCAATCTTCTAATTTTCCAGATGAATACATCAAGTCTCTCACAGCTCCTTTCTGTTTCATTGTATCCATATAATCTTCACATATGTGCCCCAATCTTTTGTGCCACAGCATCTTCTGAGATATAGTATGTTCTCTTTGGTCACAGTGATCTCCTTCATTCTCAGGTCGTTGCACTTCCACTGAATCTTCTTGTTTGTTTGTCTCATTTGTACAGTAACACCTTGCTTCATTAATGGTAGGTAACATGTATATACCATTACTTTCCTTTGCTTCACCAAGCAATATTGCTTCTTTGCTAGATATTGTAACACCATTAGCATCAAAGTTCACCCTATTACCTGCACTCACCAGCTGGCTCACCGATAACAGATTAGCTTTCAGACTGGGTATATATAACACACCTTTTATATTAATGTACCTTTCACCTTCCGTTGTTACAGTTTTCACTTTAACATCACCCTTGGCTTTCGCCCATACTGATCTATTTTCTTCAGCTAAATTTATTTCGGTGTCATATGGCTTACTATTTATCAACCAGTCCTTACGAGGAGTCATATGGGCTATGGCTATGGCTATGCCCTCGTACTAATCGAGTATCCAATGAATATACCCTTCCTCGCTCTTGCTTCTAATTTGTTTCTCCAGTTTTTAGGTACATAATAAAATGCCAGGCATCCAAATACCTTGAGGTATATTACTGACGGCTTCCTGCCAGACCACATTTCTATTGGAGTCAGTTGCCCTGTTCTCTTGGTCAATCCCATTCCTTCTAGCCTGATTACCTGGTTTACCGTAATTAGTACAAGACCCATTACCATAATTATTCCTTTGGTGTGTATGGGTGTTATTTCTTTCACTAGTTCTATTAGTCTTCTCTTGTCTGTGATAACACTGCTTAGCTTTATGGTTTCGTTTCCCACATATATAACATCCCAAGTATTGATGTTCAGTAGCATGATAAGCTTTCTCACCTTTCCATGTACATGGGGACGGAGCACTCTGACTTGTGCTTCGTGCCTCCTCTTCTGACAAAGCTTGTTCAATTTCTTCTATTGTCAACGACCTCTGTGTTCTTAAAACGCTAGCTGTTTTTTCCATTTTGGGGTGAATTCCTCTTACCACATGAAAGGTTAATTCTCTATCAGATATTATTTGACCCAGAGTTGCACTTCGTGATGCAATATTTTTAGAACGTGTAATATATTCCTGTACCGATTCATGACTATTCATTTTTATATTTTTTAACTCGATGCTTACATCTATTTTTCGGTCTTCTACATTTCCAGAAAATCTCTGCTTTAATTTTTCCCATACTGCTTTAGCTGACGATTCATTCAGAAATTGGCCTGCTTGTTCTTCCGACAAGGTTAATATTATAAGACTGAACGCTTCGTCATTTTTTGCTTCCCACGTGGTTCTAACCTTTGCCTCGGGAGATTCTAAGTTTGCAGATATCGGACGTTCCGCAGCCTCTATTACTTCTTTATATAATTTTCTACTTCTTAATATCGCACTTATTTTCAACGCCCAAGCATAATAATTTTTATTTGTAAGCTGTTCAACTTTATTTATCGGTACTATGCCGCCTTCGGCCATTTTGAGTTTTTTGTCTAGTACTTTTTAATTTTTATATAGCCAAACATTAACCTCTAATTGAAAATTGTTTTTCTTTTCTTTACCTTCATATATCTTTTTCAATCCGCAATTATTTTTTTTTCAACCACGCTCTGCTACCATATTGTTGGGATTGAAGAAGTCACACTACACGAAAGTTTAATCCATAATACTATATTTGTTCTTATTACATTTAATATTAATTATATAAAGTAAAAAAGTAAACACGTGCGTCACATTTTCGTCCGTCTAGATCTCTGGCGACGTCCGCCATCCGCCTAACCGGATGTGTGGGCATTGTTACCAACAGTACCAGGAATAACTAAATCATCAACGTATGTAAAAACTACTTTGTTTTTAATCAACTCGCGAAAAGCATTATTTACAAAGCGAAGAAAACTAGTTGGACTGTTACATAAACCAAACGGTGTTTTTAAAAATTCGTATTGCCCATCTGGCGTTACAAAAGACGTATACTTTATGCTTTCTTTTTCTACTGGGACATGAAAAAAAACCATTTTTTTAAATCAACTACTGAGAAAACTCGCGCATCCGTAAGCGAATCTATGCAATCTTCGATAAGTGGCATAGGGAATCGATCCCGTACTATTTGTTGATTTAATTTTCTATAATCAATGCAGACTCTATATGACCAATCCTTTTTCGGAACAATTACTATAGGACTTGCATACTCACTCTTACTTTCTCTGATGATACCTTTTTTTTTTTTTTTT